CCCCAGCCAATGTTATATATTTGAAGTCCACTCATATCTATTTTTTTTTGGTCTGCAGGGGCTCTTGGCTCCAACCTGGAAACAATATGAATGTAACAATGACTTGAACAAAAAGTATTGTCATACTGCAAGTTGGAGCCGCTGATGCGAATGAGCATTTTTTTACACGACTTTTTGACTTGCGCAAGTTGTAACAGGGGCGCTTTTGGCTTTTGCCTTTTACTTCTTTTGGAAGCCAACCAAAAATATAAAAATAGGCCTCCGATACTGCACAAAAAAAAAATGTGGAGGTCACCATGCCTGGCAATACAAGACACTAACAAAACATCGTGAGCATCGAAAAGATGAACTCCAAGTATTGTTTGATTTTTTTTTTCTTTTTTTGGGTCTTTTATGGTCGCTGATGTTGCAGTGGTGCGCTCGCCTGACTTGGGGGCGTTGAATCGGTTCCCGCTCAGTGATGTGGATATGACTGTGAAGGGTTGTTCGTCTCGATATGTGCCGTGCACAGTTCAGGGTGTAGTCCAGTCTGCCTTCCCCTCCCTTCAAGATGGCAATTTTCCCCTTTCGTCCTTCTCCTTTTGCTGCTTCGTCATCTCCGTTACAGTCAAGGTGTGATCAATCTCATGAGACCGTCTGCATTCTTTTCCTTGTCGTCCTGTCACATTATCGCAACATTTCCGTTCTTCTCCAAAGCTAGCCCCGCATTTGGAATGAAAGAGACTCAGGCGGGCGAGCTGTGCATCCTGTTTGGAGGTGGATGTCCCCGGGGGGAGACAGGCCTGTCGTTGAATGATCATCCCTTGCTTTAATCAACACATCTCCCAGAGGGAAGAGCAAAAAGTTTTCCTCTGGCATTTTTCCGGTGTGTATTGTTGAGAGTTAACTTTTCAAAAAAAAAAAAAAGTTTTAAAAGCATTGCCTCTAATTTTGAGAAGGTTTCTCTGCAGGGTTTCTTCACACGGAGCCACAAAATAAAGTCCTAACGCCTTGACGCTGTCTTCATTAGCATGACAAATGAGTTGAAATTCGATTTCCTTGTACAACATATTGAGGGCGCAGCATAGATTAGGGCTAATGCTGCAGCGTCAATCAATGATCCGATTAAATGAAATCAGTTCTTGGGATGTTTTCCGGGACAAATAGAGTCAACGGAGGACATCATATTGTATTGGTGAGCACTTGCCGCCATTTGGCTGCACGTGTGGACGAAAGTCAGGGATTGTCAGTGCGTGTACCGTACAATTATGTGCAGCTACGTGCTCATCGAGCTGTTGACCTTTCGCGGCCGCAGATAATGAGCTTTTATGCTCTATTACGTATATCTCAAGACGTAGGTGAACCCCTGACACCTGAGTGCCATCGGGTCGAAGAAATAATCTCGGTCTGAAAACAGATGACACAATGTCCGCACACAAGCAATTATCGGGACAATCATAAATTGGAGTAGAGGTTTTAGCTGCTTTGGATGGTTTTAATGGAAAGAATGTGACTTTTGTGAATAGTTTCTCCAAAATGATGACGAGCAGACTAAATGGCCTGCCGCAAACTGAACAACGGGGCTGAACGGCTCTTCGACTTATCATGAGCGGTCGGCCATCAGCGCTAGTTTTGCCACAATTTGAAATTTGAAATTTTATATTTTTAATTTCTTTTGTATCCGAAAAAGTGAAGCGTGGATAGTCTCTGTCACTGAAATGTGCAGGCAGGGAATCGCCTCTCAAATATCCAGTCTCCTTTGTTTCACTTCTTTTTCTTTCTTCATCATATAACTGTGCTTCTGCTTTTCGAATCGTGTGTCTTGTTCACTTAACAAAAGAATTTGACATTTGCCGAACCTTAAAACATTGCTTCTCGTTCGCAGTTTTTCGATTGCCGCAAGTTTCCTTTCTGCGTCCGAGGTTCAAATGCACGTATGTGAGTCATCCATTGTTCCTTTTCCACAATTGGCCACTTCAGTCACATTCGGCTGCGTTGCTCAGTCTGGAGAGCTGAGATTACTTCAGATTCCCCCCCGCACCCCCCAAAAAAGGGGGTGTAAACAGAGCATTTTAAAAAAGCGAAAACATTTAATTACACATCGATTATGTTACTCATATGGCGCGAGATGTAATCCAGTTAAGTGCAGAGGAAATTAGACCGTGGGGAATTTGTAGTTGCGGCTTGTTCAACCCACCGCTTATTGCTTTATTGTCACACTGAAGGCGTCTTTTCTGGAATTTTGTTAGCTCTGTAATTAATAGAATGTGGACATTTCGAGATTACTTGGAAACATTGAATGCTTTTTGCGCTAGCAGTAGCTCATCGGTATGGTCGTCGGCTTTGGAATCGCAGGTGTCCCGGTTCGAGTCATGTTGCGACTAATCCATGGCAACGAGTTCCTGGAAAGAGGCTAGTTTTCCCCTGTAGTGCTGAGGTGCCCTTGGGCAAAGCACTGGCATCCTGACCTGAGCTCAAGAGGTGCAGCAACAGAAAAAGCAGATTAAGTTGATTCTCCACTTGAAGAGTTGTGATCAGTATAATAAATCACAAATTTGTTTCGGAATGTCAGGAAGAGGGCGACACGGTGGTGAATGGTGAGCACGCTGGCCTCTCAGCACAGGAGTGTAGGGTTCGATTCTGGTTCCGGCCTGCCTGTGTCGAGCTGGTATGTTCTCCCTATGCCTGGATGGGTTTTCTCCGGGTTCTCGGGTTTCCTCCCACATACCAAAAACATACATGGCAGGTTAATGGTGCACTCTAAATGGTTGCTAGTTGTGATTTTGAGTGTCAATGGTTGTTCGTCTATTATTGTGTGCCTTACGATTGGCTGGCAACCAGTTCAGGGTGTCCCCCGCCTACTGCCCGAAGACAGCTGGGATAGGCTCCAGCATGCCCCATGACCCTTGTGAGGATAAGCGGATCAAAATGGATGGATGGATGGACGTCAGGTAGCTGTATCCTGGCAAGTGACGCACATGTGTGTCCAGTGGTGGTCGCATCTTGTCTGAAAATTCGACAAAATTCACCTCCGAAAGTTGATTGAACATTTTTCTGGAAACCCCCCCCCCCCCGCCCAAAACTGCTGTTGCCTGCTCCAACTTGCTGTATTCAACATGTAAATGCCACCCAGACGTGGCACTAATGGTTGTATCAGCTGCCTAATCATCTGTCACAGTGGGGAAATGGAAAATTAGCCATTAATGTTTTTTTTTTTCCTGTTGGATATTTCCCACACTGGCTTTTATATTTAGCAGTGGACATTCAGGGGTCTAGCGCTCCGTCGAACTTCATTAGGCTCTCAAATGAGCTTTTAAATACTTTGAATTATTCAAATGTCCCACAGTTTTCGAGCTATTAGACTAATGAACTGGCTGGACACACACGCACACGCACGCACACATGCACACACGCACGCGGCACGCACGCACGGAGCTCTGGAAAGTGTGAAGATCCTTCGACTTGATTGGGTGAACAGCACACAGTGTGTTTTGCCGGGTTCTCGGCGGCTCCAACACAAGTAGACATGACACGGCTGGCTAGGTGTGAATTGAAGGCGGCTGCCTGGATCCAACACGGTCGCTATGGAGTCAAAGTGAGCCATTAATGTTTTTTTTCCCTTTTTTTTATGCTTAATTGGGCATTGTCTCAACAACTCACCCACACAAGTTCATCCTGAACTGAAGAGCTACGGCATCCTTAAAAGTGGAATTAGTTTGCTGGCAAAGTCACAGCAGAAAAACATAAAAACTTCAAAGATGCCACGGGAGGAACATCACTGCTGCGGAGTGACTCTCTGCGAGTCCCTTTTAGCTCATTGTCATCAATATAAAATAATAATGATGAAGTCAGACGTATTGTGGCTCTTTTTATATGTAGAACTGATGTAGAACTGATAAAAAAAAAAGACCAGTTATAAGTTCCATGAGATTTGTGGGGGTCTCGTCAGGGCAACACAGATGCACTTACATCTAAATAAATTAGAACACCGTGAAATGTGTTTCAGTAGCTCCATTCAAAAAGTGGAAATTATATATTGGATTGATTCGTTATTCACAGTTTGAAGTTGTAGATTTTTTTTTTTTTTGCATTTTACCTTACAACTAACCCAATCTATCTATCTATATAAAAATTGTAATTAAAAAAAAAATGATATTCTAAAACATAGGTGTTCAACTCAAGGCCAGTGGGCCAGATCTGGCCCATCACATCATTTTCTGTGGCCCGCGAAAGCAAATTATTCACGTTTCTTACCAAAGTACCCGTATTGCAAATTGTCTTTACTTTTTTTTTTTCTTGCCAACATACAAATGATGAGATTTATTTTGACCGTGTCAAAAAGACAAATTTTAACTTTGGAAGCATTGAGAGGAGATAAAAATGGTCACGCTTCAGGGCGCAAACCTTTGCATCCTGTCCTGCTCACTACAGTTGGCCCCCTGATTGGTGGGCGGGCGAAGCTGAGCCAATTGTTATTCATGAGTTTCAGTAGTGCATGTTTTGGAATGAGTTGAAAGCGACGAGAGAAGATTTGGTATTAGAAAACCCTTACGGATGGATGATACACGATTTCCTGCCGCCATGGGGGCTCTCGCCAGTGGCATAGCTTTGTAGGGGCTGGCTTTGGAAAGTGCAGGCTACTCCAAAGGATCATAACCATAATTGTTCAAAATCGGGAAAATAAATCTACTCGTAGTTGAAGTGTGTAAGATAATTTTTTTTAATTGTAATTTTGGAGATGTAAGGTCTCGACTCTTCTCACCATTTTCTTGATTCACTTTGCATTCCTGAAAGCTAAATTGAATCCAGTCTTCCAAAGGGCCTAAACAGCTCTATACTGCACTGGTGGACCCAGGAAGCACCACAGACCCATCGAGGACGTTGCTACCAGAACTGCCCAGGGCCCTGGCAAATGCCGCTATGCTACTGCTTCAGGCCCCACACCTTATGAGAGCTCATTTCCCGTTAGCTCCCGCAGTTTAATGTGCACCCTGACCCCTTCCGAACCCCTTCCCACACACCTGCAGAGAGAGTCCTGGCGGCAGACCGTCCTCAGCTCCAGGCAGTTGGGTTTTTCTTTCTCTTTATACGAGCAATCGGGCACGATGGTCTGGCGGCGGCGCTCGGCGCAGCCCTCCGTCTGGCAGGGACAGAACAGCAGGCGGTGGCTGAACTCGGTGGGCACGCGGTCCAGGAAGAGTCGCAGTGCTTTGTGGCAGCGCTTCTTGCTGCAGGTTTCCCCCTTGTTGGGGTCCTCCTTGCTGCAGGTGGCGATATAGGACGAGCGGTGCCTCTTGCAGGTGCCGTTGAGGTTGCAGGCTTTGGCAGCGTCCAGGCAGGGGTTGCAGGTTTTCTCGGCGTCGGCGCAGTGGAAACCCTTCGGGGCTACTGTGAGCATCCCTAATCGGAGAGGGAGACAGACTTTTATTGGTTTACATTTACACTATTTTTCTGTTCTGTAATAAAGGGTCCAACTGTGCCATCTACCATCTAATGGAAGACGAGTTAATTGTTCTGCCATTGTCATTATATGCCCATCCATCCATCCATCCATCCATCCATCCATCCATCCATCCATCCATTTTAAACACCGCTTATCCTGAAGAGCATCGAAGAGATTGCTGGAGCCGATCCCAGCTGACTTCGGGCAAAAAGCGGAGTACCCCTTGAACTGGTCGCCAGTCAGTCGCAGGGCACACATTGAGACAAATAACCATTCACACCCACATCCACACCGTCACTGAGTGGGAACCGATCCCAAGCTGTCCGCGAGTGTACCACTACACTACATAAGTCAAACTCAAGGCCCGGGGGCCAGATCCAGCCCGCCAGGTCATTTTATGTGGCCCACGAAAGCAAATCATGTGTGTGAACTTGCTGAAATCTTTTCCGAAATGTCAAAAATGCTCATGTGGAATAAATAACGTTGAGACTTTGCAATCATTTTGTTACCCTGTTTACCCTCACTTGATTTTAATCGACTTGACTGGTTTCAAAATTTCTTGTGTAAAATATAATAATTTTGTGGGTTCACTGTCAGAACGGCCCTCCGAGGGAAGACGTATCTCCAAATTGGCCCGCGACTAAAATGAGTTTGACACCCCTGCAGCACTCCATCAGCGACCCACTTATTATATGTCCCCTGGCATAAATTCATAAAGATAAATTCTTTTTCTGATCAATTATCCAAAACTGGATCATTTCCTGCGCCGCACCTGATATTCTCTCACGGCAATATAATCGCCGTGTAACACTTTTGTAGACACTGTAGAAATAGTCAAAAAAGGACTTTTTGTCAGTCCACTCCTCCACAGATTGATGACACGGGCTGATCATTTTCAGCGAGATTATTAACTGCACTTGTTCAGGAATTGATCCTGAGGATGTTGCAAGAAACTCAACGACGTGAGCCACAAAACCATCGATTTTCTGCATCGGTTATGCGCATACCTATTCTGACTCTCAGACAGCCAATCGAACTTACTTTGAAAGTCCTCGGTGTGCAGAACATACTGTACATATTTGTCGGTAGCGGGAGGAAGCTCAAGTACCCACAACTCCACCGGAATTGATGATGGCGGAATTGATTCAAGAGGGGATTGCCAATGGCAGCACGATCAAGTCGTGCTGAGCATTTCTGCCTGGCGCTCCTTCCTGTGTGGAGTTTGCATGTTCTCCCCGGGTCGTCCCCAGGCCCTCTGGCTTCCTCCCTCATGTCAAAAACAGACCTGTTACGCTCATTGAAGACTCTAACTTGCCCGTCGGCTGTGAATGTGAGCCGGAATGTTTATTTGTCTGTACGTGCCTTTTGAGTGGCAGGCGAAAAGTCCGTGGTGTACCGTGACTCTTGCCCAAATTCTGCTGGGATAGACTTCAGCTCACCTGTAACCCGAATGAGTGCAAGCAATATAGTAAATGGATGGATGGATGGGATTGTCAGTTTTTTTGTTTTTTTTTACCACTCCATAAAACGTGGTCGGACAAACAAAACCCGGCCGCCACAAATGCAATAATAACCGAGAGATACACATCGATACGCGGTCAACAGCAACAATCCATGATAGATCACAGGGAAGCTCTGCAGTAAAGTACGGTCAACAAACAAAGCACGCATCCTTGCGGCTGTGGTCAACAGGAATTTCATTCCTCAATAACATGACAGATTGTCTCTGCGAGTCACCGGAAAGAGAACAACTGGACATCTGCTGTGAGTGGAATATCGATTTCATCTGTCGAAGACCCCCCCCGAGTCAAACAGAAATGGATTTTGTCACATTTCAAATGAGATGTTCAAGAATTAGCAATTTGAGAATAAGGGACAAAAATCGTCATCATTATATCATGAAGCAGCGCGAGTAACGTGAAATATTCTTCACTCCAGTGCTGCCAAGGCCGTTTGTTCAAATACATATTTGAGCTTTGACACAATTAATGTCACAAATTATTTATTAGGGTACAAGTATGGGCGGCCCGGTGATCGAGTGGTTAGCGCGTCGACCTCACAGTGCATAGGTCGTGGGTTCGATCCCGGCTCCGGCCTTCCTGTGTGGAATTTGCATGTTCTCACTGGGCCTGTGTGGGTTTTCTCCGGGTACTCCGGTTTCCTCCCACAAAACATGCGTGGCAGGCTGATTGAATTCTCTGAATTGTCCCTCGGTGTGAGTGTGAGCGCGGATGGTTGTTCGTCTCTGTGTGCCCTGAGATTGGCTGGCAACCGGTTCAGGGTGTCCGCCTACTGCCCGAAGGCAGCTGGGATAGGCTCCAGCATCCCCCGCGACCCTTGTGAGGATAACGCGGTTCAGAAAATTGATGGATGGTACAAGCATGAGGAGGAATATATACAGTATGAAAACAGCAAATGGAAAATTCTCAACGCCCATTGCCCCAAATTGATCAGGAAGTCATCCATTTTGGTCTAAAGTAGGCATTTTAGGCAAATTCTGCCAATTATTTTGCCAAGCTTTTCCGCCTCCACTATTTTGTGGGAGGAGCATGTTGTCGCATTTTAATCATTTGACAGAATTACGATGAGAAGGACCTTTTGCGGCTCCATTCATCACTATTTGGAGGCCCCTATTCATTTATTCCAAGTTGACTGTTAAGCATCAAGACTAAAGTGCCAACTAAATAAAATATCACAGTTTCCAAAATACAAGCCTGAACACCCCATACTTTAATAATCTCCCACTTGGTTCTAAAAGCCGCAATTTGAATGGTAAACGATTAAACCCGCCTCTGTTTGTCAAGTGCAACGACAGACCTAAGCGCAGTCATTATCCCCGATATTTGTGGATTCCAGACGATGCCATTAGATGTGCCGCTTCCGACCACGGGGCAAGGGAAAAAAATGATACATTTGTGTACCCCGTTCGCTTGTATTCAAGCGATATTCGAAGATTTAACCTCCCTCCCCGTGTAGATAATGATATTTCAGAGGTCACGGCGCCACGGTGACACCCAGAGATTCATCTCTTATTCAACAGAACCAATCTCACACTGTGTCTATCAGACAGCCTGCAGCAGGAAGAAGACCATTTGTTTTTGGAAGGGGGGGGGGGTGCGCCCACGGCAGCCGCGTTGTATCGCACAATATCAATCCCGCAAATGGGCTTGCGTAGAACACCGGACGCTGCAAGTGGGAAAGGAAATAAGTAGACCCTTGAAATTAATTATTTTGTGCTTTCAGATCCTTCTTGGGGAAAAAAAAAAATTCCGCCCCCCCCTCCACCCCGGTATTGAGAAACTGCACAAGGAGGTTTAAGTATTTCATCACAGACTGGAGAGCGTATAGTGAATCTTTCTTTCCATTAACTAACTTTCATTTCGATGTATCAAGGTTAAATGGAGAAGGTTGTCTGGAGGGGAAAAAAAAGGACAGGAGAGAAGCGCCATGTTACTTACTGTATGTACTTGCCTCTGAGTCATCATACAGCAGGTGGAAAGTAGCAAAGTCGAACTACTTTGCTCCCTGAAAAATCGACGTTAGGACAATATCTGTTTGCCTATGTACGTATTTGTCTGACAACCTTTGACCTTTACTCACTATTTTGGAAAAGCCAAATTTGTAATCACTACTCCTGACTTTGTCCAAAAAGGCTTGTTACTTTAAAAAAAAAATGTTTGCACTTCCACATCATACCAGACTTTTTTAAAATTGATTTTTTTTTTTAACTGTTCTTTACAGGGTAGTGACAATTACAAATATCAGAGATCCTTCTGTGAGCAATTGTAAACCCTCCATATCGTTGCACGCCCTTGGGGGAGAGGATAAATCCTTCCTTCTCAAGGAGGTCATGTTTGCACTCGCTTACTTTATTTCTTATCTAGTGTCTTTGGAGGTTTGTGGGATTAGGGCAAAGAAACAAACAAAAAAAAAAACGTCCTCCCTGACATGATAACTAGCTGTGCAGTATGAGTCAGGAACGTATATATTAAACATTGTACTTTATATTTTCAGTCAGACCTCAATCATCGGACTAAGTAGGACTCATTTCAATTCTCCTTGTACTCACATGAAATGAGTCTAAATTTCGTCAAATGCCGAGTCTTGTAATAGGCAGTGGTGGGAGGAACGAGCCAGTCGATGTACATTTACTCAATTACACTCAAGTCACATTTTCGAGAGACTGAATTTGTCAGTGTGGTTTTAATGCAATCCTACGAGTACTTAGTTACTCCTGAGCACAATTTTTGACAGCTCTCCCCGCCTCCATCAAGAGGCTATTTTTGGTGAAGGTCAAGGTGTGAATATTTTCTGTCTCCATCGAGTGTCCTGTGACCAAGTGGCAGTTCGGTGTTGTCAACCTTCACCCTCAGTCCCTGTGACCCAAAAGAAGACAAGCACGATAAAAAGGGGACGGTTCGGTCTAATTTTGGACATGGTTGGAATTGGTTGGGGATGTGTTCATTGTCAATAAGTTGATAGATTCATTTCCTCTCCAATGAAGACCTGAGGAGGCAAGCCTACTGCTGTTTCATTGGTCCCAAGTGACATCAATCTTGTCTAATGTATGTAAATCTGCCATGCATGTTTTTGGAATGTGGGAGGAAACCGGAATACCCGGAGAAAACCCACGCAGGCACAAGGAGAACATACAAACTCCACGCAGTAAAGCCAGAGCTGGAATTGAACCCACGACCTCTGCACTGTGAAGTCGACGCGCAAACCACTCGATCACCGGGCCGCCAAAAACATTGAACATGAAAATATACACCCGCGTAGCACCATAGAGTGATGGCGGGGACAACCTATAGTTATTTTTCCGGTGTTGTTTGACTACAACACAAATCGAAAGAAAGTAGACTCAAGCGGAGTTTAGTGGAGGGTGACAATTCTGAAGGTGAGCATAGCAAATCTGATTGTAAATATTGTTACCTTGTACAAACTGTGCTGACAACAC